CACACACACACAAAAAAAAAACACAAAATTCTAAAGATAAGCACTATCCGCTATTACTCAATTTAAGGGTAGGAAGAAATCTTGACTGAAAGGTTGTTTTGAAGTCCAAATTCACATTAAAATTGGTTTCTCCATTCTAAAGCTATATGTCTTATACGAGCATAAGCCCAAGACATATTGCTCCCAAAAGACATCCTTCTCTACACACAGCTACCATTTAAGTATACTGATGAAAATAAAACTAGTTTTTTCTTTTTTAATCTTCGATACAATAAACCCCATCGCTAACCCAATTCCCCCACACATGAGCCCAATAGTGGTCATTTCTCATGTTGCTTACTTGATGACTCGAAAATCAACTTTATAAGAGGTGGATGTACCAGGCTAATCTCACCTGTTGATGACAAAACAGGTTATGATTGTCAAGAACTATTTAATTTGTGCATGAACACTAATCAACGACACAAAGTTGTGGATGAGTTCTGCCTCCCTTTCTCTTTAAATTGCTAAGCAACCGATCCCCTAGTGATTTCTCTATTCAATATCTGACCAGTAGAATAGCAACTTTCACAATCTCATGATTTCATGTCCGTCAGTGGGTATTAAGGGGATTAGAAAATCAAAAGTCAAACTACCCAGCATAAAGGAATGGCAAATTCAGCAAATCATACATAAACCTATAAACCTGTGCATAGAAATAATAATTAATGTTTGTTTAAAGTTAACTTTCTAATCGGGAATTGAAAAATCAAAAATCAAACTACCCAGTAAAGAAAAGCGGCAATATCAGCAAATTATCAAGAACCTGTGTGCAGATATGCTAAATTACTGGGGGAAAAATGCTTACTTGAAGTGCTAAGTTAAGAGAGACTAGTAAAACGGACAACTCTAGCTTGTAGAAACGCGACAGAACAGAAGAGGGCCAGCCATAGACTTGGAGTACGAAGCAGAGGAATGAGGTCTAATAGTGAGAAAATGGAAGATGACACAGAGGAAGCAAACAAAGGAAACTTTGCTGTGTAAGCATTTTTCACCTCTGTCTCACGGTGCTAGATTTTTCTTGTTTTTTTTTNAGCAAAATGTGTAAACTTGTCTTCTCTTTTTATTTGTTTGGCTCAAATTGAGTGGAGTAACTACTTTTTGAACAGCCAGCTTTAAAAATAGAAATTTTTACCTCATATAGCAAAGGTTAACACCTTATTTATTTTAAATAAATACCATTTCAAAAAATTATATTCTCTAAATACCTTTTAAGATTTATAGCAAAATATTTAATTTTGGTTACCTCCTAGCCCTAAGCCACTAAATACACGAATCAGTTATACTATTTTCTTTCTTTCTCTACTTTGATACATCCCATTCTCTTCCCTCATCCCATTAAAATTTCAAATCTCTTCCTTCGATCAACTTTCACCAATGACCGCAAAGAAGAGTCCCCGTAATCCAGGCTGATTCGTGGAGTGGGAAAACTTTCCATTCCAAGATGTACCACAAAAAGGGTCTATGGACAATCAAGAAGAAAAACTGCCGCCGACATTAAACTTATTTGTGTGCAAAGCCCCTATTCCATTATAACAGATGCATTGATTCTTGAAGATTGCTATGTTCAAGATTCTCACCAACAATCTTTATGCCAATAAAATTGATTTTCTCCTCCCTCCCTTTCTCTGTCCCTTGTTTCCTTGATTTGTAAATATATTAATTATCAGTCAAAACTGATTCTTGTGCAAAGCCCCCATCCCATTATAATAGATACACTGATTATTGAAGATTGTTATGTTCAAGATTCTCACCAACAACAGCAGCCGCCGACATTAAACTGATTCTTGAACAGCAGCCGCCGACATATAATCCGGTTGGTTTGTTCTTGAACAAAGACGATGGAGTTTGGGGTTGAGCAACTTGATTTTCTGTTAATATATTTTAATGTATTTTCATGTATTTCATTGTATTCATTCTCTTTTTTTTTTCATTGTAATTCAATGTGCCACATTGTATTCCATGTATTTCATTGTATTCACTATTTTTTTCTCATTGTATTTCAATGTATCCCGCTGCATTCTATGTATTTCATTGTATTCATTGTCTCGCTATATGCCATGAATGTATTCATAAGTTTTTTTTAATTAATATAATTTATGTATTCAGATGTATTATATAATTTCTCTGAAGATTGCTATGTTTTGGGGGTATTTTTCGGTTGAGAATCTTTTTTATAACTGAAAATACAAAATTTGTGTGTTATAATTGAGTTTGTTGAGTTATATTAAGAGTCTATTATGTTAATTGATTCACTTTCCATTTTAAAAACAGTGTAATCCCCTATTTCACGTCGTGAATACAGTCGAATACACTAATCTGTCTAGCTGTAATCCCATGTTTTACTCTATGAATACAGTCGAATACACTCGAATACAACAACTGATTAGCTGGACTTCGCTGATTCACGCATATTTTTACTACTGTATTCATGAATACAATAGCTTAAATACATCAAATATATCTTATAACCACATAAAAGGTATCTATAATCCGTAATATAGCAAATGGTATCTATAAATGGCTAATTACTACTAAAAGATAGTGCTTTATGAAAATTTTCCTTAAAAATATAAGTAGCAAAGTGGCTATTGGTTCATTTAAATTAGACTAAATTGATGCTTTATCCGGGGCGGATGCAGTATACTAGTATCTGATTCATTTGAAGGCGATACTTTTGATGTGGGGTATAAATTGATGTATAAAAATCTATTAAAATTATAATATACTCCGAATATATAAATTCGTAACTTTATAAACACAATAGATCTGATACTAAAAACCGTAAAAATTATACCGGGCGTCCTATTTGGTCGCTCCCAAAACCTATACCTATTTTTTTTAAACTTTTAACTTGTACCCACTTTTTAAACAACTTCAGCCTCCTTTTCTCCTCCTCCTTCTCCTCCTCAAAATTATATCCGCCCCCAATCCCATAGTTCCATTAGAAGAAATTCAAAGCTTTTCAGCTTTTTTCTTGTCCTCTCCTGCAGCAGAGGCTTGACGACCTAATGAATTCATATGTTACAACAGATTAGAGAATTTAATCATTCAAAACATGTATTAGGCGGACAAAGATATACTAATTACCAAGTGTAGAGTTTGTTCCTCGTAGGAGGACCAGTTGGGTTGTTCTTGCCTTCTTGGTAGTATCATATAGTCCACCCCTCTATTAAGTGTGTCACCTAAGATAATTTGGAGTTGGAAAATTATCAGCTCTCTGTCGTTGCCAATATATTAGCATGAAATATCTACTCATGTTTGATTGTTTTTTAGATATCCATTGAAATTCCAATGGAAATTTCATTTGAAAGAAAGCTGTATTATTGTAGTGTTGATTAGAAGTGAAAAAGACGAAATTTTCTGATCATTTCTGGTAAGTGATCAGATGGCTTAGGCACAATGTAGCAGGCTGAAGTTCAACTCTAAGAAGGCTAAAGTTCGCCAGTTACAAACAAAAACTTCAGCTCTAGAGCTGAAGTTCGATAGTTACAAAACAAAAACTTCAGCTCTAGAGCTGAAGTTCGCTAGTTACAAACAAAAACTTCGCTAGTTAAAAACAAAAACTTCAGCTCTAGAGCTGAACTTCAAGTCCGGCTACTAGAATGCTGAAGTTTTGCATGATTGTCTTTGCTACTTCAGCCCCGTATGCTGAAGTTATGCGAAAAAGCAGGTATGCTTGTAGTTTTTTTTGCAAAGCGGATACAAGTTAAAATGTGACACAAAAAACGGGTATAGATGCAAATGCCCCCTAAAAATCTTAAAGAATGAACTCATATAATTTAAATTCTGGATCCGCCTCTGTTTTTGCCCCAACTAAAATACAAAACAACTCCATCAATAGGTATTGTAGTTTGAAACTTTGACACGTGAAACATTATACTAAAGTTAAAAGTCTTTTATAAGTTCAAAACCCCAACAACGATTTATGGAGTTCAAAACTTTATAAATTTAAACCCCATGAACAATTCATGAGGTTCAAACATCTATATTTCAAAATTCAGTAATAATACCTCGAATTCAGATAAGAGTAATTTCAAGAATTCGGGAACATTAGAATCTGTTTGGAAGCAAAGCTTGAAACTCCAATCAACGATGTCGCCCGCCCGTGAAATTTTTGAACTCCAAGAAAAATTTATGGGGTTTAAACTGATAAAAGTTAAAATACCAATAATCGTTCCTAGAGTTTTATTCTTAAAAGTTCAAAATCTAGGAACAATTTCTGAAGTTTGAACTTATAAGTTTTCTGAGTTTAGTAGTCGTATTTACCCTTAAGATTGGATAACAATTGAATTTGTACGCGATTTTAAGGATACGTGATATAACTTAATACAAATTAAGAAGACAAATTAATATCGAAATTAACGATAATAAAATAACAGGGTCGGCCTAAGGGCCAAGCAAGTAAAGCACTTGCTTAGGGCCTCTTATTTGTAGGTGCCCCAAAATTTTCTATAGTTAATGTATTTTGTCCCTTTTTAACAATATTAAGTATTTGAAAAGAAAAAAATGCAAGTTTCAAGGAAAAGAGGCCGTTGGAAAACAATTAGAAAAGGAATATATTTTTGCGATGGAAAATTTTAGAAGATAATGTACCCAACCTAACTCTTAAACCATTATCACAAACGCGTTGGGAAAGTCGCATTGAAAGTATTAAAGCAATACGATTTCAAACTCCACAAATAAAAAATGCTTTATTGAAATTAGTAGAAGCTAGTGAGGATCCAAAAACTAAAAGTGAAGCTAGTTGTTTAGTAACTTGTGAGCTTAAAAATTTTGAATTTTTACTGGGTATGACTATTTGGTATGATATACTTTTTGCAGTCAATTCAGTTAGCAAACATTTACAATCAAAAGATATGCATATTGATGTTGTCATAGATTAACTTAGGGGTTTGATTTCTTTTTTCAAAAAATATAGAGAAGAAGGATTTGTAACTACCATGATTTCTGCTAAGGAAATTACCTCAGCGGAAAGAAGCTTTTCAAAATTAAAACTAATAAAATCTTACTTAAGATCAATAATGTCTCAAGAGAGATTAAATAGATTAGCTATATTATCAACTGAAAAAGAATTATTAGAAGAAACCGATTATAAACAAATTATTAATAATTTTGCATCTCAAAAAGCAAGAAAAATAAATTTCAAATAAAATTATGAGTTTGTTTTCTACAACAAAAATTTTAGGGCCCCTCAATGAAGTTCGGCTTTAGGCCACAAATATTATTGAGCCGCCCCTGTAAAATAAATGCAAACCACATAATTGAACAGCCTTAGCTTCTGAGTTTGGTCACCCTCGAGCCAATAAAAGTCTCAACTAATGTTAGAACTGAACAACAAGATGATAAGAACCAAAAATGATCAGTATATTGCTTTCTTTTGGCGTGTTACAATGTATCTTAGAAATGATCAAAAACCCCTTTATATAGTGGGATGTTCTATTTTTGGTACAATTCTATACTAGGTAAAAAATCTCATAATTTGCTCATTAATCGGCTTATTTTTGATACGTGCCGAGATTTCCGCCGTAATCCTTGACCGACTGCGGATATTTCGGCTTACCATTATTTGACTCGGTAAGTTTTCCTAGATCTTGCTCAGTCTCGAACTTGCTTGGTCTCTGGGTCATGAGCTCGACGATCTAATTGCGCCTTGGTTCGATATAACCCAAGCTCGAGCTTTGACCTGCCATGTTTCAACCTCGATTGGTCAAAGAATGGACGAGCCCGATTTCGACCGACAAAGTCCCCTCGTTTTTTGGAGATAAGACAACGAGAAACGATATGAACTTCTGAACCTCGCTCTGATAGATCATGACGTAAGCGACAAAAGGTCATTGAAACATCCCGTCGGTCCAGTATCCAAGGCATTAAATGTGTGTCAATGTTGGTTAGCCACTACTGATTTTGAACCGTCATTAGCAAAATATAAATACTACAACTTTCATTCATTTAAACTTTATGTTCAAAAAAGCTTCTTCTACTCTTATTCTTTAAGAATCTCTTCACTCTCCAACT